ATAATATATATATATATATATATATATATATATATATATATATATATATGTATATATATTTAAAAAATATAATGTGAAACATAAATTTTAAATAATAGTTTGTGGGAAAGCTTTTTAAATATACTTATAATTAACAATATTGCAATATCACAATTTTATTATGAATTGCAATTTTTTAATGTACGTGAACATAAACTAATTATTAATATTTTAAAAAATAGCATATATAAATTTGTGTATTGTGTAAAAAATAAAATAAGATTAATACAATTCTATCAATATAAATTTCATAAGTTTATTATGAAATTTATTTGTTGTTTCATAATCATAATAAAATATTAAATGTAATTTTAATAATTTATGGAATTTAATCATGTTATAAAATTCTACCCTTAAATTGTATAATGTATAATCAATTTCATAACAGTTTGCTTAAGATATGTATTGTTTTTTTTTAACATGTATAATAAAATAAGTATTACTGATGTATTAATTTTGATATTTTATTTCCTTTCCCATTCTAATGATTTTATCCTATTTTTTTGTATTATTGTTTAATTAAATAATTTAAAAAATTCTCGAAATTATTATATACATGAAATAAATGTAAGAATTCATAGGAATTTTTTATAAAAATTAAAATGTATATATATATATATATATACATATATATATTCTGATTTGAAAAAAAATATGTATTTATTATATATAAATCTTTAAATAATTATTTAAATAATTGTTTTTAGTCTTATATTTCAATTTGTAGATAGCAACATACCATTATGTTTTGTTGGAGATGACTATGAATTACCTGGAGTTAATTGTGTAATGAAAGAAAATGTAGATTCTGTATTGCAATTGTTGAAGAAACTTCAACCTATTTTAACGAAAAAGGCTGTATCCATGATATGTGATAATTCCAGTGAAACTCCTTATTTGACTGATTCTGAGATCATGCAAATGTTTACAAGTAATAAAGTGGTATGTTAAATTAAATAAAATATTAATTATTAAATATAATTATAATTAATAGTTAATTATATGAAATACTAATTATTGCTCACTGTCTTATTAATATTTATATAAAATAATGTTACAGACCAGTTTAGAAGTGAAAGAAGATTTACAAAACGCACAATTACTTGTCATAAAAAATCCAAAATGGGGAATTTCTCTTATAGACATAAGTGATGATAATGGAAACTCTGGCAATGTTTTGGATTCCTTGGTATTGTAAAAAAGTTTTTGTTTTTATTTTTTTATTTTTTTTAATGTATATAAATTAAAGAAAAAGACACCTTTTTGTTATAGGAAGAATTATTTTCTACTCGTTTAAATGGGAAAGTTGGAATGGTGATAATGAATCCAGAGTTACCAATGCAATGTCTTGTTAAAAACAAACTTTTCACCATATTCTCCTCTCTTCTAATTGTGTCACTTGGTAAATTTTTGACCGACTTATTATGGGAAGAAATTTGTTGAAACTATAACTCGATAAGGTTCTATAATAACATGATAATGTTATATTTTAAAGTATTACATTTTGTTATACATACAATTTTAGTATCTTAATACTGTAATTACGTCGCATTAGTAAATTTTGCTTTTATTGTTATAATACCGTTTGTCCTGCAATTCTCTTGTGCATATCATATTGCAAAGCTTGATATGCATTTTGTATGATAATAGTAGATTAAAAATACTATATATATTTTCAAATTTTGTGTATGTATATATATATATATATATATATATATATATATATATATATAATAATAAATAAAATAATATATATATATATATATATA